CCTTTCCCCTCGGAACAAACTGACCCAAGTAAAATAGGAGAGAAAGTCACACACTACCGTAATGTACATGGCATGGAAGTCTCTATGAAAACCATCACCTGTGATTCCATGATTGTTAAAATGGTGATAATATGTTCACACTAATACTGAAAATTAGTGTTGAGTGGTGGTTGAGGTAACAGACTTTCGTCTGCATAGAGAGTTGCCAGCTTTATTGTCTTGCAAAACACCAGATCCAGGATAGATTCGTTCTCGTTTCTAAGTGAGTTGACCTGATATAGGTTATGGTATGAGCATAAAAATGATAGTACTTGGAGGGACTCAACTTCGTTTAGAAGAGCTGTTCGCAGAGGGACAGCCACAGAGGCCAAATTAACTTTTCCCATTTAGAAGATTAAAATCGCTCAAAACACACACTTAACTATCCTGGGTTTGCTTCCGTCAGTTTTTCCAGGCTCTCAGCAAACTGTGCATACTTTTCAAAGGCACTACGAGGTGGGAAATAAGCAGTTGCAAAAATGAAATCGGTACCGTTCATATCGGTAGGTACAAACAAATGTTCAATGTTACTACATACTTGCTTCCATGCAGGACTCCACTTGTAATATTCTTTCGAACTGCTATTAGTACCCCACCTCCTCTTGAGAAAACGCTTGTTTCGACAAATCTGTCCCTTCTGTAAATATTGAAATCAAGCATTTGAAATTCAGCATCCTGGAAGTGTTCCGTCAACAAACCAAAATATGGTATTCAGAGTAAGAAACATTACAAACCCGAAAAATATACTACTAAATACTACTAAAATATATTCATATACCTACGTAAGTCAAACGCAGCGCACTGCACAGCCTACTAGATTTACAATTAGCGGAATTAGCAAAGAAATATGAATTTTCTATTACGATCCCGGCCCCTGCGAATTTGTTGTATTGTGTTGTTTTTCTAACGGAATTCGATTATTTTCATTTGTTATTCAATGTTAATTTGTTTGTGCAAGTACTGCAAGTAAACTTAATTTACTTAGTTGTTGATAAACGTCTATATGCTATGTTGTTAGCAGTTACGTTACACTAGTAAACATTGTCAGCCGTCCGGCGTTCAAAATAATATCGCTTATAAATGGAGGAACGTCTATCGGCATTCCAATTCCTATATAAACTGCTAAGGGGCCAGTTTCTGCCACATTTAAGACCGATTAGATTTTAGAGGACATAATTTTGTAACACATGGAATCATCTCGCTCTCAGAAAAAAAATTCCAAATTCCTCAGTACGCCGTTAGACGTCCTATGGACCATATAAATCAAATGGGTCATAATTTGACTGTCGAACTTACAGTGTCGAGGTGTGTTAAGATTTTGAAGGGAAATATGTGAAGTGCTAAATTTTTGTGTTCCTCCTAGTTGAGAATAAAACAATTTTTACGATTCCGATTACGATTACGATATACAACAGTAAGCGGTTACGACATATGAAACTGTTGATTATTTGATGGTTACATTTAACAATAGCTTTTATTCTATATTTCCAGTTTCCACTATTAATTTATTACTGGCGGAAATGCGAAACAATGTTTTCTAGTGTGTCACGTTGAGTGTCAAGTCTATTTTTGAAAGAATTGATAGGTACTTGGACTTGGAGCACATACTGGTATCCTCAGATAGCGCATTCCAGTGATAAAACGATTATATTACTTGAAAAGTTTTTTCTGGGAAGTTTGGCATTTCTTTCCTTCTCCAATTTTTTGCTATGACCTCTTAGCTGTGCATTTGTATTTGCATGAAATATATTAGGGTTTGTTTGGTAGGTAATATGGCAGCAATATCTTGTATGTCTCTATATGAGGTCTCCACTCAAACGTCTCTCCCTTGTGTTGTGGATTTAGCCTCCTTAGTCTTTCAGGGTATTCCAAGTTTGCCAATTCTACTGGGATTTTTGTGACCCGCCTCTGAACTCTTTCCAAAAACTCTATATCTTTTGCAAAATATGGATTCCATATCGTCCCTCCATACTCAAGTTTTGGTCTAATATATGTTTTATGCAATTAATTGCATTATTATTTCTATAGATCTATCTGAGAAGGCTTTTTGAATGCAGTGAATCAGAGCGTTTGACTTTTTTACAACTTTGTTGACATGCGACTCCCATTTTAAATCGGAGGTTATAATAATGCCAAGATCATTTTGTTGGTCGACATGAGTTAAAGATGTGTTGTTTAGTTGGTAGTTGTGGACGGTTCTATTCGTTCCTATGCTAAGTTTCTCCTCGTTGAGTTTCATGCCCTATATATATTTGGATCCATTTTACTATTTTTTCAAGGTCTTCTTGGAGCTGTCTTTGGTTGTTCGAATTTGAGAATAATTTGGCGTCAGCAGCAAAAAATATGATAATAGTTTGTACTTGCATAGATAAATCGCGAATGTACAATAAAAATAATATAGGACCAAGCACCGTTCCTTGAGCAATACCGCTGAGACATGTATGTATGATGGTTGATAGCTTGCCATTTATCCTGACTTGAATTTTTTTTTTCTCCAGAAGACTGATAGGCATCGGAAGAGCTCGCCATCAATACCATAGTGATCCATTTTGTGTAGCATTTTTTCAAAAGGTACTTTATCAAACGCTTTTTCAAAATCCAAATATATGACATCAACCTGTTCACTCCTATCAAAACTTTGAGTCCACGAGTTGATGCATGTTGTTAAGTTAGTGATGATTGATCTTTTTGGTAAAAATCCGTGCTGATGTTCTGTTATAGCGTTGTTTTCAAGAAGAAACGGAGTTAGTTCTTTGGCAATTAAGGCCGAAACCCACTAGCAACACGCCACTCCATACCACGCCATGTGACACAGGTTCACGTGGGATAGTTTGTGTGCAAATGGACGGATGGCGTGGCGTGCCATGGCGTGGTATCGCGTGTGGCAAGTGTGTACGTGGCACATATAAATGAATGGAAGAATATACGCATACATTTTCGTCACATGGCGTGGCGTGGCGAAGCATGACGTGGCGTGTTGCTAGTGGGTTTCGGCCTTTACTTTCTCGAAGCATTTACTCATGTTGGATGTTAGGCCTTATTGGTCTTTTATTCGAGAGTAATTGCTTATCGCCCTTTTTATATAATTGGGGTTACGACTGCACGCGTCCACATGCGGTAATCTCCCATTCATCAATATTTCATTCATTGCTTCTGCCAATGGTTTATACTGATACAGTTAATACATTTTTGAAGAAATATTACAGGTATGTCATCGGGGCCAGGGCTGGTGTCAGTTTTTAGGCTTCTTATGGCTAAAGAAACGTTTTCTTCAGTAAACAGACTTGCTCTTAATCTGTAACGATTTTTTATATTGTCTGAAAGCGAGGGAAGCTCATCATCTTCGTGCTGAGAGTAAACTTTTGTGAATTGTTCTGCAAAATTTTCAGTTATTTCAGAGTCATCAGTTATTAAAATATCAGAGTTTTTAAGTTAATTTTGAAAACATTTGAATTGAGATTACGTTTGACATATTTAAATACTGCTTATTTTTAGGGGAGGAGGCAAGTTTTTTCTCAAATTCGCTCCTAGAGATTCTTATTTTGTTCTTAAGTTGATTATTGTGAGTCCTGTAGATCCTTATATTTTTCCTCCGAGGGTGATTTTGAATAGCTATCCCGTAGATTTCTCTTTTTGTCTATCTCCTCAATCGTTCAACCATGGTTTTTTTAGATTTACTTTGGATGTGGTTAGAGGAATACATTTTGAAATTGCATCTTCGATGATGTCAATGCATCTGTCATACCTCAGATACTTATTGCACAGCTTATTGGCTGAATGCTGGTTAGAGTTGCAGCTCTGCTGGCCTAGAAAAAGGTTAATTTGATCATAGTCCGCCATCCAGAATTTTCTTTTTGTGTTTTTTTGCGTGAATCTTTCTTTGCACTTCAATTGAGATTTTGCAATAATTACTATTTGATCGCTACGGCCCAATGATGCATGCTGTTCAATGTCAAAGAGTAGTTTTTTGTCGTTTACTAGGATGAGATCTAATCATTTAGAAATCTCGTTGGGAAGTTGACTAGTTGGTAAGCATTCATCTCATGGTAGTTATCAAGGACGAGTTCATTTAGTTTTTCTGATTTTGTTAGATTAAGCAGGTTTTTCCAATTTATTTGTGGATGGATAATTGAAGTCGCCGCTATGTACACAGGTATTTCCAGGGAACAGGCTTCTGTTAAAGCTGTTATGATTTCAGTGTCAGTTTGTTCGGTTGAATAATCAGTTCTGTATACACAGCAAAGTAACGGCATAGAATGTAACAGCTTTAGGTTGTTAAATTTTTAGTTCAACCCAAAGAAATTCAACTGGGGGTGAAGTTTTAAATTTTTTTGGATATGCATGCATGAATTCTGTGGCCACAAACTTCTTCTCTAATATAGGTATATACATATCCCCCCTCCAGCATGTTCCCTGTCCCACCTAAATAAGCTATAGCCTGTAACGCTACTATACTGTCATTGATTTGGCTGTTAAGCCAAGTTTCTGTTATACCTTGACGGACATTTGTTGCTTTATTCAGTGTTGTAGCCAGAATGGGAGAGGGGGTTTCCTATTTCGACATATTTTATTATATTTGCCAATAAATTGAATAAAAAATTAATGGGCATGTCATAAAAATATTAACCTCAACTTTTTGAGGATTTGTAGGGAGCCGCCCCCTTCCCTCTGGCTACGCCTTTGATTTATATAGTTTTTTTAACTAGACATGTATCGGCGTCACAGCCATTTTCTCCTTACAAATACAGCAGGACGTCTATCGGCATCAATTTCCAAACTCCTGTATATCAAAAATTTCAACTTTTTTTCAAATGCCGATTGCTAAGCCGTTCGCTGTACTTTAGAAGGCAATCCGAGCACTAATTTGTTCAAAAGTACTAGTTTAATTTTTGGCACCGACCACTTTCTTCTACTGTCCATCAACGTGTTAACAATATACTTCGGATTTAGAAAAAAAAAACTTTGCAACACAAACATTTAATTATTATAAAAGTGCAGCAACTATAATAATCAATACCAATTACATTTAATAATAATAATAAAATAATTATTACGAATATTGCAGACCACAGAACTTCTACGCTGTTTTTGCTCTGATTGCCGCTCGTTTTGATGTAACAGCCTAAAAAGAAAAAGTTAATAATTATTAGCTAATAATGCTTAAAAACAAGAAGATATAGCTTACCTGGAAACCAGATTTGATACTAGCTACAGAACACCTGGACCCGCAGGTTTCGCATTGTAAAAAGAACAACCTCGTGTCTTTTTGTAAAATGGTATCAGGCGATTTACATGTATGACAAGTCACATATTCTTTTATATACCTAAATCACAAAATCTTAGAAAATAATTCACAAAAAATTAATTCAAGTACCTTCTCAATACATTTTCTAGTTGTTTCTGTTGAAAACGGCCCTTGATAATGAGGTGATTGTTACCATCTACAGAACCGCTGGTACCCAATTCAGCCAGTAAGAAATCCAATAAATGTTTCGGTTGTCTGTGTAACATTTTGCAAATTTCTGTGAAGTTGGCAAAGGAGGTCTTCTTTGCGCCTACTTTGACAACCTACAATAAATAAATGGCATTTATGTTGAAATAAAACATAATATTTGTGATTTCTGACCTGGGGTGGTCTCATGACAAACTTTTGTTTCTTCCCAGCAGCCATATCTGGGTTTTTGTCTCTCATAATTTCAAAGGCCCTGTTTAGGAGCTCCTCGTATGTGTAATCTCTATCAGATCCAGTCCATGTAATTGCATTATCATCTACTACAAAAAGAAACAAATCTTTAGAATTTGAATTAGAAAATATTGGACAATATTGATAGTTTTATTGTGAACTTTTGTACCAATGTTTAGGTAACAATTTACCTGGATCCGTTATTATTTCAACCAAGGTGCAGCATGTTAAAAAAATAAAATTGTTAAATATTTCATATAACAATAAAATGATGAATGAACTATGAACTAATCCTATGAATTCTTGACTATATGTTAATTTATCGTATTCTAATTCAAAAAAAATCTTTACCATTCTCCTTATCATCGGTCTTATCATCAACCTCCGCCATAATTTCATCTAAATTTTTTTTATTCTTCCTCTTCTTTTTAAGTTTATTAAAATCAAGATCGAAATTGTCATCAATCGCTTCATCATCTTGACCGCCACCTTCTCCTGCTCCTGTTTCGTCTTTGATATCGGTTAAAGCCGCTTCCAAATCATCAGTACTGAAAGGTTTCTTCTTTTTCTTCTTTTTTTGTTTGGTAAAGTCCAAGTCGATATCTGCGTTATCGTCGGCATCTTCTTGAGCTGGTGGTGCTTCGTTATCTTCGAGACCGTTTGTGGTACTTTCTGGCGCATCACCTAATTGTTTGGATTTTATTTAAATGGTGTTAATGGTTATAAAAATGTGTCATTTTTTTAATTTCATATATTAGCTATATTTACACACCTTCAGCCAATGCAGCATCAATATCGAAAGTGGTCTTCTTCTTCTTCTTTTTCTTTTTGAGTGTTGGATCAAAAATCTGAAATTGGAAAGTTATTGTTAAGATACAAAAAGCAATACATATTTGATTCTTAAATTGACATTAAAAACCCCTACAATAGTAATAAGGAATAGTGAAATGAATTACAATAACAAATATTTCACCTACATTTTTTGTAGTAAAAACTGGGGTAAAAACAAATCTACTATTGATCCTTTGTATAAATAATGAAATGCAATAATTATTATTCCAAGGAGAGGAGGCTGTGTGCATGTGTCCGGATAAGGAAAGAAATAAGGTGTATTTCATGCAAATTTCCATTTCTCGAAATTTAGCTTTCGGCTTTCGCCATCAACAGTACTACTTTTCAGGTTCAGACGCAGAAGTTAAAATTGCAAAGGAACAGAGTCGATGACGATTCTCAAAAATCGGTAATAAAAAGCATTGTTTCCAGAGCTCTTGGTATTCTGAACCAATCATAGAATTATTAAATAAAATTGTGATTGGTTTTGTAAGTGTACGAACATATTTCTTTAAAAGTAACACAGGAATACCATCAGGCCCCACCATGACCCTATCAGAAAAGCTCATTACTGCTTCAAAAATGCCAATTGAGTGCCAATTAATATTATTGTTAGTGCAAATTTGTGGTAACATGTGATTATATGAAGAACTTGACGAGTAGACAGTGGAAAATAATGTACCAAATGAATTGGCAATATCCTGTCCTGTCCTTGACTTAACTCTTGGTTATTGTAGACCATTTTTGAGGGAAGACTATGGGAACTTTTTTGATCTCTAATAAATTTCCAAAAATTCCTAGGGTTAGTCTTGCAACTGTTATCTACATTAATTATATACTCAGATCGACAGACAGAAGAGAGTTTTTTTTCCCCACATCTTAGATATTTGTTACCAATATAATGGAGTTTCATGTGGTAGCACTGCCTTTAGCTGGGTCCAAATACTTCAAAATAAAGTGTTAAAAGGTTTTGTTTAACGTGTCTACCTGTATGTGATAAAAATTCCTAGTTTTCTCAGTTAGAAATGTTAGAATCCAAATATGCAATCACATGCAAGGCGTTCCATTCAGAAAAACAAAATTGGTCTGGATCTGGGTGGCAGCCAAACCAGAATTGACAGAAAATATTCATGCAGGTAGGAAGAAATCGAGGTAGAAATGTAGCGAATAATTTACTGAATAATGTTGATAACATTCATATTATGGATGCACCAAAACTATGTGCAATTTTAGAATTATAATAAATTAAACTATTGTACAAAGTTATTAACAAAAACCAGAGATGTGACATACACTGATATACACTGCATGACAAAAAGAATGTATCACCCCATAAAAGTAAATATTTGTTAACCAAATTCTGTACCCCTGCTTGGGATAATAAAAGTAAAATTTGATTTAATAAAAATTAAAAAATATAAGAATGAAGTAAAATTTAATCATTAACTGTTTTTGTTAAAATAACAATTAGAACGAATAAACAAAATGCTAAATAGAGCTGTAAGACATAAGCATAATGTGTAGAGTTAAAAAAATACAGAACAAAACAAAAATATAAAAGTTTAAATATAACAAACAATTATGTAAACAAAATAAATACAAAAAAATACACAAAATTCGACGAGACTATAATAGGCTTTATCAATCAAAATTTCTCAAACTCCTCTTTTAAATGTTTCAGTGCAGGAAGCATTTTTGCTTCATTCAAGGGGTTTCTAGGTGTCCACAGTTGGCTAGGACTATGTAGGACTGTATCAACAGGACCACACAGTACTTCAACAGGACTATACAATATTTCCACAGGACTATGCAGTACTTCAACAGGATCCTATAGGACTGGAGTTATTACCAATATAGTTGCAGCTTCCATTTAAACTCTTAAACTTTCCAAGGGGTGAACCGTTGGGAATTATGGTGTACAAAATCAGGGAATTACTAAGAATTATTGGGAAATATGCAAGAATTGCTTGAATTATTGAGGAATTATTTAGGAATTGCGAAAACTGTTAAGCATTATTACATACGTTACGAGGAGGCCTTTGTGGGTGGAGTTTTAAACCACTGGGGTTATGGCTGAAAGAAAAGGACTATTTGAGTTGTTTTAACGTGAGTATTAAACGATTATTTAAAAGTAATAAGTCTTATGTTTCAAAAGGCATTAGTGTCTGCGAAATATGTTTAAATTGAAGTTTTTCATTGGAATGTTTAGGGCATCAGCTTAAAAAAGCATTAGTTTCTCATTAAAAATCATATTAGAAAACTAGAATATGCTGGAAAAAGCATTAAATGGTTAGTTTGGAGATAGAAATCACCTATCCCCTTTTGGTAAAGTAACTTGCAATCTATTACCAACAAAATAAATTGATGGTCAATATCAATACAAAAACATAATCCTACGTGCATCTTAGTAACAGAGACTTGGCTTAATAAGAACATCGCGGATGGTCTTATTAGGACAGATGAGTATAGTGTATTCCGCCAAGACAGAGAAAATCAAACCGGAGGTGGAGTGTGTGTTTTGGTTAAGGATGAGTTAAATGGATACAAAGTATACTCTACAGTAAACAATCAATGTAATACATTCGCCCCAAAACAGTCATTGTGGATTGATATAAAGGACTGTAACATCAAATTTCTGTTCTTTTGTATATACAGAACATATTATTCCAATGAGGAAAATGATAATATTATGATTAACTCAATTAAACATGCCTGTTCATTGGATATGCCCATTTATATTATGGGGGATTTGAACTATCAGCATATAGATTGGGAGAATCTTAATCTGTCCAACCCAGACAAATAAAATCAACTTTTTTTGGACAACTACCTTGAAACTAATGCTCACCAAATGGTTGATTTTCCAACACGTTTCCGAAATGACCAAGTTTCTCTACTTGATCTAATCTTCACCAATGATGAGAAACTGCTATATAATATGGAACCCGAGCCTCTCATAGGAAAGAGCGACATTGGAAAAAGTCAACCAAAATCTGAACTGAGTCCAACGAAAACCATATTGAAACGTGCCGACTATGAAATAGTTTTCTGGCTGAGCAAAATTTTGCTGCATCGAGTGATGCGTTCCACACGTGCATGTCAATTTTAAACAATGCTATAAACAAGTTCATTCCGTTGAAACCATGTAAAGCAAACCCACAGAAACCGCGGCTAAACCAGTTCATATTTAAACAAATAGAAAAGAAACGAGGTCTATGAGATAAATACAAAAAATCAGCTACAGACGACAGTTACAAAAAATATCGCGAACAAAACAACTACCTTACAAATGTAATTAGAATGTCAAGAATAGACTATGAATGCAACATTGCCTCTCAGAGTTCAGATAAAACATTTAAAAGGGTATGTGATAAAACACTATCATCCAAAGTTTCAACAATAACCAATAACATTAAAGAATTAATCAGATGAACTTTTGTCTGCATCAATTTCACAGATTTCAAATATTGACTTGATAAGGTGTATGAAGCAATAAAATCGTTGAAGGCGGATTCCAGTCCAGGCCCTGATGGAATTCCAGCACTGTTCCTGTAAAATTGTGCAGCCATCCTGAGCCAACCCTTGTCTGATCTCATGAAAACTATTTTTGAAGCTTACAACTTTCCTGAGACTTGGTCAACATCGTCAACATCAATATTCAAAAAAAGAGACAAAACCGCTACATGGAACTATTGTCCAATAAGACATGTAATCTATGCAAGTGTATGGAAAAAATTATAGTGAAAAAGTTAACCCCATTTTCGCTGAATCAAAATCCATTACTGAAGCACCAACATGGCTTTCTTCCAGGGTGTTCTACTAAAACCAATCTCACACTATGCTTGGACGATTGGACAAGGGACCACAGCTATCTCTCGCATAAATTGCATTACTTTGGCATTGCTGGAAGCTTGCTACAATTTGTATCAAATTTTCTATTGAACCGATAGTATATAGCATAAATGCAACATTTTCAGACAGAAGAAAAGTCCAGAGTGGGATGCCCCAGGGATCAGTACTAGGCCCTCTACTTTTTCTAGTATAAGTATATGACATCAAATATCCAAACCAAAATCGTACTTTTTCCTGACAACACGAAATTGTATGCAAAGGCCGCAGAACACCAGAAATTGCAAGAAGATCTCAGAGCTTTAGAAGTGTGGTCAAATACCTGGAAAATGAAGCTAAACGAAGAAAAAATGTACTACTTATACCCGAGCTTATACCACTGAATATGCCTACAAAATAAACAATGTTGAGTTGAAGCATGTGAGGGACGAGTCGATTTAGGTGTTTTAGTAACCTATAATCTGAAATGGGAGATGCACGTAACAAAAATAGGCACAAAATCCAACTCATACATATACCTTGTAAAAAAGGCCCTTGAACACCAGTCGTGTGACACCCGAGGTGACACCATTATGAAACTGTAAAAATCTTTTATATCCAAAACTAGAATATGCCCACTCAGTTTTGAATCCGTACCTCATAAAGGATACTGAGATGCTAGAGCGTGTGCAGAGACAAGCAACAAAGATTCCACCATCACTCCGGAATGAAGATTACCTTATTCGACTATCCACTTTGGCACTCACTTCTTTGAGGGAAAGGCGTCTAAGAGAAGATCTGATCGAGACATACAAGATTATTTGAAATAGTTACCTACTCCTGTAACCTTGACATCTTTACCTTCAATGACAACCCCTATCTATGAGGTTAAACTTTAAAGTTGTGCAAAGAAAAAACCGCCAAGCTTCCAAGAAGGAACTTCCTAGCAAATCGCATTGTCTACCCATGGAACAGTCTGCCAAATTCTACAGTCACCGCGCAGAGTTTGAATTCTTTTAAGAATGAGGTCGACACCGATATGACTGAGTGCATTATTCCAAATGGATATTCATTATGGACAATAACTTATCAAAAACATGACGTTAAACTTACAAGTAATCCAATAGTTTCATCAGTGTGAACTGTTTACTGTTGTACCATTGGTATCAATGGGATTTATTAGGAACTA